GAGAGAGAGAAAAATAATGCGAGCGTGTCGAAAAAGCAGTCGCGAGTGCATGTCATGTCCCAGGAGAGACTTCTTGACGACAATCGTGAGCGAGCTGATGGGGTCCCCCTCCCCTCTCCTCCCAATCCGGATAAAACTACCCGCCCCACTGGACCTCGAAATTATCTTGTAAATGTGCAGTGTTATCCTTCTATTTCACGCGTCCGCGAAAGATGGAAAAAAAGGTGTACTATGGGCAAGGGAAAAAAAAGCGCTCGCCACTGCTGCATCAGGAATAAAAGGGATACACATGTACAATATCGTGCACAATAAGTCCTGAAACATGACCGAGGTACATAAGTTTTTTCTCTTTCAACAAATAAACGTTTTCTTTTTGACCCGAAAATGCAAGAAGTAGAAGTTGGAAAAAAATAATACTCTTGTAAACAACTTGAATATTGTCCGATATTGTCGGATATTTTCCTAGCTTTCCTTCACATGGCGGCATATGTAACCCGCACGCAGCCGTGACATGCCCTCGATCGGGTAGTACAGCCTCGCCCGGTCATGAGAGGCACGACATGGAGGCTCGTCATCAGAAGCCATAAGTCAATCGTTTGGCGCGCCGTTTCCACGGCGAACACGTCCCATGCTTTACGACGACAACCTCCCAAAGCCGGACTGGAGCGTCCGTCATAACGCGCGGGTACACCGCCACAAACTATTAATGCGACGGCGCAAAGACAGACACGCGGCCGATCCAATTTATTTCTATACGAGCGGGGCCGCAGAGAGACCGCCATCCGCAGCGGTACAAATTGAACGGCCCCTCGAGAGCCTTGTTCATTTCCCGGGAGCGTTCATCAAACAGCGCGTGTGTCAGATAAAGTTATACGGCACGGAATGCGCGGCTTGCTGCACCGGGAGGAAGCCGAGGCGGCCGTCGTCGCGCGGGTGGGCCCAGCAGGACGGCCCAGGACGACACGCGCCTCCACGTTGGCGTCGCGGGTTGGAGGAACCGGAAGTCGGCGAATCGCTATGCTTCTCACCGTAGAAGGATGAGATCGCAAAGGCGGCAAAGTTAAAGAACGGAATGCCTGACTTATTTTGTAGTTCGACTGTACTGCTTACTATATGCCACATGCATGCTGGTGTATAACGGAGGGTGGCGTGGTAGGTATGGTATAAAGTCCGGCTGACAAGGGGGGGGGGCAGTGCACTGTGGGTTGCCTACTTACAGGGGGGTTGTGGCACAAATTGCCTACCTTTCAGGCAGCTCACTAGAGATTGGGGGGGGGGGGGAATCACCCCGCGCCTTTGGCCCTCTCTTT